CCCCACCCACACCCCCTGCCGCCCCAGCCCTAGGCTCCCCCCGACCAGTGCTGACTCCTCCCGCTCCCCCCTCGCCTCCAGCCGGTCTGGTGCTGGCAGGGTCGGGGTAAGCAGCGCGGCTCCCGGGCCGCACCTCAGCCCAGGGTCCCTACAGTCAGGGATCCCGCCTCCAGGACCGGCTGGGACCCGGGAGGGCAGAGCCGGGGAACTGGGGCAGGGTAGCCCCAGAGGGAGCGGAGCCCCGGAGAGCGGGATGCAGGCCCCGCATGGCAGCGCCCCTGGCACCGGTCCCCTCTATGGCTCCGCTGCTGCTGCTGCTCCTGGCCACCCTGCCACAGTCTCTGGGTGGCTCGGGCCACTTCGCCCAGCCCCGGCTGCGGCGCTGGGGGGCAGCCGCCCTGCGGCACCTGCAGGCGGCTCCGTGCGCCCCGCGGGGCGGCCTCCAGCCCGAGTGTCCCCCGCCTGGAGCCTGCCTGGCCCAGCCACAAGGTGCGGGCACTGCTCCCCCGCGGTGCGAACCGCAGCGGCCCCAGGGCTCCCCTATGCACCATGCACTGCTGCTACCAGGGCTGGCTCTAGGCTTTTGCCACCCCAAGCAAAAAAAAAAAAGGCTGGCCAGAATGCCGCCCCTGAAAATGTGCCGCCCCAAGCACCTGCTTGGTTTGCTGGTACTTGGAGCCGGCCCTGTTGATATTCTTCTCTCATATTCCGTCCCCCCTTGTCTCTTTTTCAAGTTGCATAGTCCGTCTTTTTCAACTCTCCTCATACAGAAGCTTTCATACCCCCCTCTGAACTTTTTCCAATTCTAATATATCTTTTTTGAGATGGGGTGACCAGAAATCCACTGTTTATCAGTATTCAAGGTGCGGGCATACCATGGATTTCTATCTTGGCACTATGATATTTTCTGTCTTCTTATCTATCCCTTTCCTAGTGATTTTTAACATTCTGTTCTCTTTTTTGACTGCCGCTGCACGTAAAGCAGATGTTTTCTGAGAACTATCCACAATGACTCCAAGATCTCTTCTCTGAGCGATAACTGCTAATTTAGACCCCTTAGTTGTATATGTATATTGGGGAATCATGTTTTCCAATGAGCATCGCTTTGTATTTATCAACATTGAATTTCATCTGCCATTTTGTTGCCCAGTCATTCAGTTTTGTAAGATCTCTTTGTAACTCTTCACAGTCAGCTTTGGACCTATCTTGAATAATGATGTATCATCTGCAAACTTTTCCACCTCACTGTTTATCCCTTTTTCCAGATCATTTATTAATATGTTGAACAGCACGGGTGCCAATACAGATCCATGGGGGACCCCACTATTTACCTCACTCCACTGTGAAAAATGTCTAATTATTCCTACCCTTTGTTTTCTGTTGATTAACCAGTTACCGATCCACTTACCCCATGGCTGCCTACGTTACTCCTTGACTTTCTTCTTGTTGCTAACATACCTGAAGAAACCCTTCTTGTTACTCTCAACATCTCTTGCTAGTTGCAACTCCAAGTGTGATTTGGCCTTCCTGATTTCACTCCTGCATGCCTGAGCAATATTTTTATTCCTCCCTTGTCATTTGTCCAAACTTCCACTTCTTGAAAGCTTCTTTTTTTTGTTTAAGATCAGATTTCACTGTTAA